TGTCTGCGGGCGTGTGGCTTTGGACGCATAGAGAGCACCGGCCTGGACAGGGAGTGGGCGTAGTGAGAGCCTACTTGTACTTAGGACCGGACGCGGTCAAGGAGGCCGTGGTGGGGCTCGCGATGACTGGGACTAGTGGCGCGATTAGCAGGGCGTTACGCTACCTGAGGGACGAGGTAGCCACCTTCCGAGCGGAGGACTCGAGCGACCCGTTGACCCTGTTTCACGGACGCCCTCCTCTTGATATCATGGGCGAGCTGGTGGTAGCACGAGACCGGTTTTTCCCGTACAGCGTTCGGGGTCTGCGGGCGATAGTTCCGACGCTCGTGGTGAAGAGCGTCTTTGGAGGTATTGGTGGAGTGGTCGAGGCATACCTAGCCTATCAGGATCTCAAGATCCTGGCGAGAAGGCCTGACGACCTTGACTATATCTATTATTCACTCGCGACCGGTGGGCCTCGTTGGGGAGACGAGAGGGTGCAACTTATAAAGCTGATCCGCTCGATAGACGACGATTGGCCCCAGTCTCCATACGTTTGGGATTGGCTGGACCGTGAGCTCCGAGCAGGCCCCGAGTACGTGACCTGCATCGGGTGGCTTTTCTCAGACGACTGGGGTAGCTGGTGGAGTGAGGACGTCGGGCGACCTCTGATATACGGCCATCAGTTGGTGGAGTACTACCAGGCTATAGGACAGGCGCCATACCGCATCAATGACGAGTTTGACGACGAGGGTTGGGAGCGAGAGGACGACGAGGACGCCTGGGAGCCAGATTGGGTCGACCCAGAGAGTGAGGTTGATGAGGAGGAGATCGACGTTACGGACGCCCATTTCCCCAGGATAGGGGTAGCAGTACGGGCATAGGAGGCAGAGGAGCACGTTAGGCACGACGACTGAGTGAGCTTAGCGACTGATATCGGCTGCTAGTGGAGAGCGGATCGATGGTAGAGCAGGTCAGTGGAGTAGAGCTTCAGATCGACGACGCCAGATGACCTAGACCTCCAGAGACAGTAGCGCCAGGCAGGGTGGCGCTAGATCTACCGGCCAGAGGGGTGTCCGCGGATGCGATAGAGAGCCGATGGTCATCGACGGTGTTGGCCCCAGACGTACACTTGTGGACGTATATCATCGAGACATTTGAGCTAGACAGTCAGAGGTGGCGACGCCCTAGCATGACTAGTATAGAGGTAGTGGGCCACATTTACTACTCGTAGGATATGGTAGCCACGGTCTATTTTCACGGCCTCGTGCACGATCATTGGCGAGAGGAGCAGACCGCGAGGAGGATCTTACTGGCTCGAGCGGACACCGCGAGGGGCGAGGTAGAGCAGCTGCACGGGGGTGTTCGGAAAGTGACGACGACCTTCAGGATTGGAGGACACTTCCCATACCCTAGCAGTCGACTGCGTGTGGCACTTCCGTGCTTCGCGGCAGAGGAACTTTGGGGACTTAGGCGTTTGGGTGAGATCTACTTTGCGGCACTTGACTTGGACGACCTCTGCCGAGGGTACGCTGACAGGGACTGGGTGCTGTATGCGCAGTTTGTAGCGAGGCCGCTTGTAGGCGAGCGAGGGCTCCAGTTGATTGAGTTCCTGCGGGTCATTGTACCTACCGGGAACCCTGACTTATACTCTCTGTACCAGCCCGTAGCCTTCTGGACGGCGCTAGAGAGAGAGGCTCGGAGGTCTACAGATCATTTAGCTGGAGTAGGACAACTGTTAGCCGAGACTCGTGAGGAGAGGCCGGACCATCTCATCTCGACCGGGGAGGTTGAGGAGTATTACCGACAAGTATATCCAGAGACTGACGATCTTGCGTGGTACGCTGAGGATCGGGATTGGGAGGACTTCGACGACATAGACCCTTGGGGCGACCAGGACGAGGTCTGGGGAGATCTGGCGCAGGCCGAGGGACAGGAGCAGGTAGGTGGAGAGGCGCCGCAGGAGGACGCTGGGGGCACCTCCTTCAGGCTGAGGGACATGAGGATATTCCATGGGGTCAGAGGGTAGATGAGGACATAGACGAGGATATGCCAGATGCATGAGACGACTAGAGGCAGGGCATATCCGAGTGAGGTTTAGAGAAGGGAGTAGTGGAGAGACGGAAAGTAGATATCTTTAGGCGAGGCGAGACCGGCACTAAGAGCAGGAAAGGATTGCAGGCAGGGATATACTGAGTGTGACTATTTCCCTACGACGAGATAGGACGGGAGGCTGGGAAGATGAAGCGTTGGGCAATGTTGAGCGACAAATCAGACTCATGACGGAGCATGCCCTGGAGATACGGAGAGGTCAGAGGTACGTCGAGTTCACTATCTACTTCCATGGAGCTGACGGGAGAGTGCACGACACCTACTCGGCCATACTGGATCTGAGTGGGAGAGTTGTCTGAGGAGTTAGCAACATCGTGAGATAGGGTGCGTCGGAGGGAGTGGAGTGATACAGATCGAGAGCCGGAGGGGAGATGAGGAGTGACTCAGTAGCCTGGCTAGCTTATGTTCTCTCACGAGAATCCGAATCCTATAGCGTGAGGAAACTTGTGAGACCCAGGGAGACGGTTGTTGGATATGACATTCCTCTTTCTGTGGCGTTAGAGGGGACAGGCTGTGTTCCGATACGTTACCTGGGAACGTGGCTGGCAGTGGGACTTTTCCTTTGGATAGTGATACTGAAAGATGGACGACCCGAAATGACTCATGACCTAGAAGGGGTGGGACATCTGATAGCGGATAGAGCACACGATTTAGAGGTACGACTGACACTCGCAGGAGCAAGCAGGGCTTGGTGGAGAAGCGAGTTGTTGGCCAGAGTGACCGTTAATCAGCAACTGGCGAGACTCTCTGGAGGAAGGACGTATTGGAGTCGCTTGGTATACGGTCCTCCGCATCCGACCCTCTACCCGAGAGAGGATTGGCGATTCGGACTTCTTGCCTTCGTGATAGGGCAGACCTATGGGAGCGTAGATCGTTTGAGTAGAGCAGTGGACCACACACTTTACGCGCTTTGGGAGGGCTTAGCGCCTCGTTTCAGGGAAGTATACTACGCCATTTGTGTGAGGTGGGGACCGCCCAACAGAGAGATGCTTGACGACATCATAGACGTTACTTGTTGGGTGGACTGTCTGAGGCCAGTCGATCTGATTAGGTACTGCAGGAGACGGGCGGAGATTGATTACGTGGGGCTAGAGGATGTGAGGTTTCTCTTCGAGGCCGCAGCTTAGGGAATGCCGGGGAGGACGGCCACAGTGATGCGCGTAGGAAAGCAACTGATAAGCACAAGGTACACTGTGACAGTACTTCTCCGAGCGTACATAGATGAGGACTTGACGGCGAGGGATGCCGACGACGAGCCAGGAATTTGATCCATGAGCATAGAGCTGATGTACTGGTGCGGGTGACCTTCCAGACCTCGATTTCCTATGATGTGATGATATGGTCACATGGTTATATGCGCACGGAGCACTTCCACGACGAGACGGTAGCGAAGGCTAGAGCGAGGGTGAGAGGATAAGCTGGAAAAATATGAGGACTGAGTATGGAAGAGGAGAGTGAGGCAGTCGGAAGAGTGAGAAAGCGCATTAAAGAACCACTCTTGAACCAGGTAAAGGAGTTAGGGAACAGGATAAGGGAGATCGGGTCGTGCCAAGATGAGGGCAAGCTGCGTAGGGTTGAGCTCGTGACGAGAGAGTTAGGGAGTTTGTTCAGGGAGGAGAGAGAGATTATCCAGGCGTGGAGATCAGACTTCCTGAAGAGGGTAAAGGCTAGGAGCGTATCACGCGAAGGAACTGGGGAGAAGTCTGCAGAGGGCATGACAACGGAGGGCAAGGTAACGCAGGGAGGTAGCGACAGGACATGAGCGGGACCGCACTACACATGACGGATCGATACTCATTGCATGTGGTAGGGAGACTGGATGGACCGTTGGTGTTAGTGATCGTAGAGCTCCAGCTCCGTACCAGACTGTGTATAGTTGAGGAGGCAGAGTGTGTTTTCCGTGCGCTGCGTGAGGCTAGGGGGACATGACTTTGGATTGGAGTAGAAGGAGGACGAAGGATAAAATACGTACTTCGAGTAACAACTTTCGAAGGACGGTCTCAGATAAGGGCATGGTACGAGACGACCAGAGAGGCTGAGAGGTTGAAGATAAGTGAAGCTAGGAGAGCTGGGGAGCTAGGGAGAGTTATAGTAGATGGAGCGATACTGAGGGTGTTAGCTGCTCATGACCGATACTGGAAGGAATCGATAAGAACATTGGAAGCCATAGAGGATAGTGGAGATGAAGAGGATTTTGAGACATTCTATGATATATTGGAGTTGTCGGCAGTGAGACTACGAGCGGCTATAGCACTGACTACCCTCAGATACTAAACAGGTGACCTCATAGCTGTCTGCGAGTAAGAGGAGTGGAGATAGAGATTGGAAGCTCTTGGAAAGATAGTAGAGGTTAGAAAGGCCAACGAGCGACTTTGGATGGCAATAGGAGGAGAGCTTCCCCCTTTAGAGGGCTACCCGACTCAGGACGGGCTGGGAGACCTAGCAAGGAGGACGGAGATAGACGCTCGGAGGCTCTTGAAGGGTGCTGATTAGGAGACATTGGTTAGGCTTGGGACTGCGATCTGCCGCAGGCGTAGAGATCCTGTCACGGACGTAATGCAGATCCGGAGAGGCGCGGCCTTGTTGGGCGATCCCGAAGGAGAGGTTTACCTAGACACAGGGATTCTTGGGATAGAGGGAGAGCACGAGATCCGCGACCAGAACGGAGTACTGGTCGTGGTAATCGGGGCAGTCAAGAGCTAGGATTGGAGACGGACGCGAACCGTGGCAAGGGAACAGGTACGGGCTGCGAGTTCTATCACAGGTCCGGGCCTTGAGACTATCACAGGTCCGGGTTTCGAGACTATCACAGGTCCGGGCTGCGAGACTATCACAGGTCCGGGCTGCTGCAACTGTCATAGGTCCGGGCTGTAACGCCTTGCGTAAGTGCCCGGCTATAGCTTCTGGTAGCCTATGGAACAAGACACGATGGGGCCACAACCGACCACGGGCGAAGTAGGAGAGGAGTACAGGACATCGCCCGACCGAGCACTGAGGGATCTGAAGGAACGAATTAGGCGGGAAGCATCGCTGAGATGGACTGACTAAACCAATGACGGAGAGCCCGACGTAATGGGTGAGCCGTTCGTGACAGAGCCGCAGGAGGCTCTGAAGACTGGAACCTCGAGCGCTCGACGAGAAGCGACGAGACGACGCTCCCCTGAATATGAGCGAAGGGAGACCATGGCGGATAGGCGCAGGGACGACTGGAGAGAGAGTTCGAGGGATTCCTATTGGAGGGACAAAGATAGCGATAGGGCACCGCCCCGGCGTGTCTTCGACCCCCAAACGGGGGAATCACACCCACTCCCTTACGAGAGCAAAGATCGCTATATTATTACGCACAGGGCCTCAGAGCCTCCTACTTTCAGGGGCTATGGCATTACAGAATATCTGGAGAAGTGGGAGTTTCACGCTAGCCGGAGTCAGTGGTCGGAGGAAGAGATTATAGAGAACTTCCTATTTAATGTGGACCCAAGTCTCGGCAAGGAAGTTAAGGAAGCCCGACCGAAGGATGGGAAATGGACTACGTACAAGAAGAACCTCGTTGAGCTTTACAAATTGGAGGATAACAAGTACTCCATCAAGGACCTTGAGGCAATGACTCAAGATGAAGATGAGAGCGTACGGGCATTTGGAATGCGGTTCCAGAAGATCTCCGACGTGCTGATGAAGAAGGGGAAGATCTCGGAGGTCGAGCGCTGTACTATCTTCATCGGACACCTGTTCAAAGGCAGACAAAAGAGTATACTTAGAGATCTTTCACGCGACAAGCTTGAATTCCCAGAAGTCCTAAAGCTCGCGATAAAGGTAGAGGCAGACGACTACAAAGACTTGGTATGGAGGGGAATGAGGAGACGTGATTTCTCTCTCTATAAGGAGTATGTCACTGATAGATGCCCTGATTTCAAGGACTATCCCTGGTCGGAAAAGAATGAAGCTGTGGCTGAGGAAGTGAAGGAGATAAGGGACATGGTAAAGGGATTGACAAGACACGTTACAGAGATTGTGACCACCACTGGAGCCACGACTTACCGGGACAAACCCGGAGGGCCTTATTCACTTCGCTGGGACCGTAGGAATACCGATTCCTGGAGGAGTGTCGAGGATAGAAACCCTCGGACGCTGACTGATTATCGTGCGAGGAAGAGGGAGAGAGACGATGAGCCGTGGCGACATAGGGATGATGAGATAGACCGGGACCGCAGAGCTCGCGAGGCGTATGGGCGAGCTAGGAGGCTGGATGATTACTCGCGTAGCCCTCGCTATGAGGCCGATCGGGGTAGAGGCGACTCTCGAGGCCGGTGGGAGTCAGATCAGGGCTGACGAGATGGATACAGGGACAACAGATATGAGAGATCAGACCGGGATAGATATAGGGACGGAAGATATGAGAGGACGGATCGAGATGGATACAGAGATGGCGGATATGAGAGGGGAGATCGAGACGGGGACCGACGAGATGACTCGAGCGGACGGTATGACCGCGGGGGATACGCGAGAGAGCAGCCCGACGATTCGCGGGGGTGGTACAACCGAGGAGATCGACGCGACGAGTCACAAGGGCGATACGACTCTGGAGACCGCCGAAACGATTCACGAAGACGATATGAGCCAGGAGGATCCGGAGGAGACCGCCGCAATGATTCGCGAGGCCGGAATGAGAGTGGGGGATATGGCGCCTCATCAAAACCATATCCCAAGTCCCCTGACCCCAGGGCAGCCAGGGGTTCGATCTCTAGGAGCGCAGACGACAGGCCATCTACTCCCAGGAACTCATGCGTCTACTGTAGAGGAGATGATCATATCAAGAGAGACTGCCCGGATCTCAAGCGGGCAATAGATGAGGGGCTTGTCATGCTTGATGACTGCAAGTACGTCGAGTGGGCAGACGATCTGGGAGACGTATCAATGTTTCCCTCGATGAAGGAGAATGTAGAAGCAAGGAGAGTAAGGTCGAGTAAAGGAAAGGAGCCAGTTAGGAGCCAGAGCATCAAAATAACTTTCGAAGGAGATATGGCAACCACACCCATAAGGGTAGCAACTACCAAGTCGGCGCGAGGGTCTACGTCGAAGAAGACTGACACGGATTACGTGATGGCGGAGAAGGACGGACAGCGGATCGATGGAGAGGAGGTTATTCTTTCACCGCGAAAGCGGGGAGTGAAGAAGTTCTTGATGAAGAGTTTGCTGGACGAGATTGACACGGTCGAGCCACTGAGGCGGGCCCTTCGACAGCCCATGCAGTGCTCTATCCTAGAATATCTGGCGGCATCCAAGCCGGCTCGCGATGAGTTACAGATGATCACGCGGAAAACTCGCATACCTCTATCAAAGGAGGCTTAGGGGGCCCCTAAGGCGGATGCTCCTACTGTAGCAGTAACGGGGGTGACTGCCAGAGCGGATCGCATGGCGACAGTCCTTCTTGATGGGATGAAAGGTGTCCCTCCAGACAAGTTTTACATACTTGGTAGTGGGGCCGTGGAGGCGATCATAAACGATGGAGCGGTACTAGATGCTGTGATCGATAACGACAGTGAGGCTGTCATTATAGACGAGGATCTGGCAGTGCAGGTTGGACTGGGCCTCGATAGGTCATACCTATTCGAGATAGAGACGGCTGATGGGAGAAAGCAACAAATCACCGGGGTTTGTCACAAGGCATCCATAGAGGTCAAAGGGGTACGAGTGATCCTGCCTGTCTTTGCAGTCAAGAACTGCAGCTCCGATCTACTCTTGGGACGAACGTGACTGAGCTATGTGCATGCGGTGACGATAGGGCGACCGGACGGGAGCCAGACATTGTCCATAAAGAAGCTAGTTGGGACGCGGGTTATGATTGAGACGGTGGAACCCCGAGACTCGAGGAACAGAGCAGTTCTCGCTGTGGGAGCGGGACCCGGTGATCAGATTAAGTCATTACCTATCTCCGACCGCGCGGTGCGATTTCGCGAGAAGAATTATGGACCACTGCTCACAGAGGAAGAAAGTCGGATCGTGGAAGTGGAAGATTTAGGGAGTCGGCTGATTGTGGGCGGCAACTCGTACCCAAAGGAGAGAGATGAGGAGTTTGGCGGTGTGATATCTGTGTCTTTTTTAAGGGCACGGCACCCTATGGGGGACTACCCAATCGACACAAGCGAGTAGCTCAAAAAGTTAAGCCAACGGTGGTGCGCCGCGAGCGATCTGCACTGGAAGGGATATCGGAAGAAGACATCCCAAAGGAAATCAAAGAGAGAAAGAGAGAGGAGCCGCAACGCCTGACGAAAGAAAGGATAACAGGGATGGACATCGGGGATGAGAACCTGACCCCTCAGGAGCGGGAATGTGTGATAGAGATCCTAAAGACGTGCGATAAGGCTATAGCCTTCAGCGACGCGGAGCGCGGTAGGGTTGACCCTCGATACGCAAAGCCGGCAAAGATTTATACGGTTCCACATGTTCCATGGAATGACGCAGGATGAAAATACGCCTAGAAGGAGAAGGAAGAAGTTATCACTTTCCTGAATGAAAATATGACTTCCATGTTGCAGAGCCGTCTGATAGCGCTTATGCTAATCGATGGTTCTTCCTACGAAAGCCGAATGGCAAGGTTCGGTGGATTCAGGACTTTCAGAAGGTCAACGCGGTAACGATTCGAGACGTAGGCTCCGTGCATCATGCCGATTTACTGGTTGAAGGCGCCGCAGGCAGGTCGATTTATTCGGTCTGCGATCTGTTCTCTGGCTATGATGAGGTACCGCTTGATCCCAGAGACAGACACCTCACCGCCATGCACACGCCATTGGGGCTGATACAGATGATGGTTGTCCCTATGGGTTGGACTAACGGGGTAGCAGTATTCCTGAGAGCTATGGTAGCCGTCCTCAAGGACTTCATTCCTGATAAGGTTGAAGTTTTTTTGGATGACTTCCCTATTAAGGGACCAGTCCAGAAAGACAAGACAGAAGTTGTATCAGGAGTTAGGAGATTCGTCGAGCAGCACCTAACCGATATTTGCGCGGTTCTCGAGCAGTTAGACGATGCACATTTGACAGTCGGCGGAATAAAGAGCCGATGGGCCGTCTCGACTATTAAGATTTTGGGCTTTATCTATGACTCGAGAGGACGCCGAGCAGATCCGGCGAAGCTAGACAAACTCCTAAACTGGTCGTCACCGTTACATAGTCCAACCGAGGTCCGACAGTTTCTGGGAGTGGTCGGTTACTGGCGGATATTYATACGAGGGTATGCGGAGAAGGCTGAGCCATTGAGGTTACTCCTTCGAAAGACTGAAAAATTCTACTGGGATTCCTCGTAGGAACTCGCTATGCAAGAGCTTAAAGACGAATTTAAGGAGGGAGGACGCGTACTGAGCGTGCCATTCTTTGATGATGAGGCTGGGAAACCCTTCATAGTATCCACGGATGTTGGACCTTGTTCAGTTGGAGGACTGCTATCTCAGAAGGACGCTGAAGGGAAGGAAAGACCGTTAAGATTGAGAGTAGGACACTTAATACGGCCGAGCGTAACTACAGTCAATTCAAGAAGGAAGTGTTAGCTGTTCTGCGGTGTCTAGACACGTTCAGGCATTATATCTATGGACGGCGGTTCATCTTAAGAGTAGATCCCACAACAGTCGCCTCTGTCCTCCAGGACTTTAGCCTGACGGACCCGACCATCGCGCGGTGGTTAATACGGATTCGGCTGTATGATTATGCAGTTGAGAGGGTATCTCGCACTAAAAACGCTGTGGCAGATGGGCTTTCGCGGATCCCTCTTGAGGTCGAGCGCCCGATAGTAGCTGGAGCCCTGACATTGGCAGAGCCGAGACGCGCCCAACGATTTCTGGTTAACCTTTACGAGGGCAAATACCGAACGATCGGGCTACACCTGTCAGGAGAGGAGAGTCAAGATTCAGATATCAGGAGACAAGCGGCTCAGCACTGCCTCACAGCGGGACATCTATTCCGAAGACCGGTCGGCTCGGGGATGCCCTTACGAGTAGTCTGTGATCCTGAGGAGAGACAAACGATAGTTGCGGAGCTCCACGACGGGGTAGTCGGAGGGCATAGAGGAGTCAAAGGGACCTACAAAAAGGTACGCAGGTTGTACTGGTGGGAAGGGGGGTATAAGGACGTCGAGAGATACTGCATGACCTGCGAAGAGTGCCAGAAGAGAGCTCTTGTGAAATACAAAGAGCCACTTCATCCGTCCTATCCGACCAGACCGGGAGAGAAGGTTCACATCGATCTGCTGAAGATGCCGAAAGGGGTAGGCAATATGAACTACGCCGTGAACATACGAGACGATTTCACCGGGTTCGTGGACGGAAGACCTATCAGGAGTAAGGCGGCAAAAGAAGTGAAGAACTTCGTCCTGGAGTACTTATCTAGGTATGGTTGTGTCAGCAAGATAGTGATGGACAGAGGGGCGAAATTTCTAGCTGACGAGGTTCAGAGTGTGTTCAAGAGAGCCGGGGCAAGAGTTTCGATAGCCACCGCCTACCACCCACAATGGAACTCTCCAGTAGAGAGGGGGCATCAGACCCTAATAGCGGCTGTATCCAAGTGGTTTAAAGGTAAGGACAATGATTGGCCGCAATATTTTCGGTACGCAATATGGGCGGACAACGTCACGGTCCGGGCTAGCACATGATACCCACCATACACCTTATGGTTTGGACGGCATTGTCCTCTTCCCATAGAGTTTCACGTCGACAGCTGGACAACCGTCGACTGGGCGGAGAGGATGTCCAGAGAGGAACTCATAGCTGTCAAAACAAGACAGATAGCCTACGGTCTGGAAGACAACCTTATGACAGCAGCAGATCGTCAGGCAGTGGAGAGGGACAAAGGTAAAGAGAGATCGGATAAGAGCGTGCGGATAAGGAAAGAGAGGGTGAGCGTAGGAGATATGATCCTTCTCTACGACACAACACTGGAGAGGACCTGGACCGGAAAACTCGCCAACAGATGAATGAGACCTTACAGAGTGGTTGAGGCACTCGACTAGGGTGCCTATATGATAGCAGAATTAGACGGATCCCAGTGGAAGGATCCAGTGGCGGGTGCCAGGTTAAATTTGTTAAGACCCAGGCCTGCACGCACCTTATCGCTGACAAGCCCGAAATGAAAAGGAAAAACCAAAATTGACGATGGAGCCCCCTCGAGACGATTCGAGGCAGGAGAGAGTTCCATTAGACAGACTGGCGGGACGACACCCTTCTTGGGCCAACGACAGAAGAAAAAGAGGGTCGTGTCAAGGCCAAAAACCAGAAGAAAAAGGAAAGTCAAGAAATATCTTCTTAGCCCCAGAACTCGTAACAAATCAAAACTTAAGACAATTAAACGCCGACGTGGGTGACCTTTACGGGCAATCACCCTGAATCTCGTCCGCTTCGTTTGACGTGAGAGGCTAGGGCTCGACGGGGGCGTCGAGAAGTGGTCCGGGCTAACTATCAGGCGGCCACAAGCAGTGCGCCGCCTGAAATTTGCGTCTTTGGGACTTAGGCTCAAAGGCAAGTCCGTGTTTTGACGGTACTCTGGTTCGACTGGGCAACAAAAATTAAGGGAATTTAGGGCACCCTTGACTTTGGGCGCACTGAACTTTACGAGTAACCCTCAGAGATAGCGAGATCGGTGGGCGCACTCGGCGTAACCAGAGACCGTCATTTCCGGCCGTTCAGAGGGCTGGACCCGGATTGGCCTGCCGCGAAGAGGCATCGGGGGAACAGACCTCGCCGCAACGCTTTTGCAGCATTCGACCGGGGCCGAAATGAGGCCTCAAATTTTGATTGTTTTAATGCCATAATTAAAGATGGAAAAAAGGGATTAAGACCAATAGGGGAGAAGAGAAAAACATAATATCCCTTAATTTCTTTATTTATCACGACATTTAATTCTAGGGGGAATACCCTTGTTATTCTATGTTCTCGGCAATGAAATTAAA